AGGCAAAATACTGTAGAATCGTATTACGGTAATGGTGAAAGTAAGGGTAAAATATGATTTATTTGTTCTAAGGAAATCAGATGCACATTTTATTGTTAGCTTGCCAATCCTGACATACAACAAAAGTACATATAACTTAAAATATACTACAAATGTTACGTTATTGAGGAAAAATAATTAAAATAGTTTTCCAATTCTTACATAAATCAGAAGTCATTAAAATTAAAAAAATACCTAAGCAGTAAATACGTGCCAGGACGCACCAAATAATCACTTTCAGTGAAAGGGTCACTACACAATTTACTGGCTTTTGTTGGTGTAAATTTTTTTCTTTTCATTACTCTAACCCACTGTTCCAAGAGCTTTTCATTTTTCAGGGGAAATCTAAAGACAAAATCACATAATAAAAAGACAAACCGATTTAGCAATCGACCGCAAATTACCCAAAAAACTGGACGTTTCCTCCTGGTTTAAACCGATTTGTACACCCAAATACGGAACACGATGCCGGCATATTTCGCTCTTAATAAACCAACACTTTTTGGAACTATACTTTAATTCACGTAATCATACACATTCACCCCCAATACACATGAAACAGTTCGCAACGTACATACATATACAGGGTATTTTTGAAATAGATGGAAACTTTTTTTAAGGTAATTGGTCATGATGTAGAGAATTAATGCATCAAATATTGATCTAATAAAAATCCTTTAGTTTTCGAGATAAAATTGATTGAAAATCTGTTAAAATTTGCGTGTGCGCTACTGATTCCAAAAATGTTAAAGGTAAATTTGATCACTATAGTAATTTAAAGTAGGTAAAATTGTTGCTTGTTAACATGACAATACATTCATTAGCCCATCATTTTTTGACGTTTTTGCAATTTTTTGGAAGAACAAAATGAATTTTTCTAATTCTGAAATGACTGACATGGTTCTGATGTATGGACAAGCCTTAGGAAACTCCTTGGAAGCTCGACGTTTATACCAAGAAGCATTTCCCGAACGAAGATTGCCAAATCATAAAACATTTGCTAACGTTGTTGAGCGTCTACGAGAAAATGGGAAATTTCAACCCGTTTTAGTGATCGTGGTCGTGAAAGGACAGAACGGACACTTGATGCCGAAGAAGAAATTTTGAATGTCGTTGAAAACGATCCAGGTATAAGCATTAGACGATTGTCTTACCGAGTGGGAGTTTCACCTTTTGTGGTGTGGAGAACTCTACATGAACAAGGCAACAATCATTGATTAGACGTGCGGAAGCGTGTATACGAAATGGTGGTGGACATTTTGAAAACTTGCTCTAGTTGCATACGTTACGTTTTGTTTCATTTTATGGTCGATTAAATTATGATTTTGAAGTTTTAATTGTCAGTTCATTAATTATTGTCATTGTTTATTTGTTGCTAGCAATAAATTAATAGCAACAGTAGTTACACCTCGACAGTTTTCAGTTACTAGGTTTCACATTTTTTCGTGAAACCATTATTTATCAGTGGAGGAATGAATGTTTGGATAGGGGTTAAATTTTCCTTTCAAAATTTTACTAAACAACAAACGTTCATTTGACTTCTTAGGTTCCCTACATTCACCAGATTTTTTGTTTCCAGTATTTCAATAACACCCTGTATTTAGCACTATTTTCCTAATATATTACCAAGCGATCATACATTGACAGCAATGTTTTGCCTTTCTGACAAATGGCGGCCACTCGACCTTGAAGCTTCACTTCTCTCTGCAGCGCAGGGTTAGGTAGTCGGGTATCTAGGTAACTTAATTTAACATCTATGGTGGTAACACGTCTTCCACGACTGTTTGCTGGTTACCGGTGACACTTTCTCGTTGAATAGGGCTGGAATTACTTTGGGACTGGAATAGTGTTCTTTCCGGTCCGTTAACTCAATAATTCTAGTACAGTATGTCGTAACCTCAAATCGTAAACACATCAACCTTTCGTTGACAGATAGCGAAAATTACTAGCCTCGCGCTATCTTTGTTTAACACATAGGTTAGGTTCCTCTCTGTCGAATTCCGACCACAGGCAGTTTGCCGTACTTTCTAAAAGTAATAGTAGATCTAGTGACTTTAGTTGGGCTCGGTAAATATTTCAATTTCCCGCCTGAATACAGCCAGGTGACGTCAGCAAACCTGCGTATGTCCATACCATATTTACTTGTATCATGCTCTGGTATTTCTAACGGGTGTTCAACTGAAAAAGTTATCAAATTGGCGTTGATTTTTATATAAAAGAGTATAGAAGAAAATCCATAGTGTTGTGTTTAATTAACACCGCGTGAGTCTGTTATGTAGTAATCCTGGATTTTTAGTTAAAATTGGTATCCTGATGTTTTCCATAATTTCCGGTTGTCAGCTGTCAAGATTGACATATGCAAAACTATTTTTTGGGCCGCGTAAATGTATTACTTCTTATTTATTAAAAATTAAATAATTTTATATTTCTTGACAACAGAGTGGCATTAAGAACGGCCGAGAGAGAAGAAAATAAACGCTAACAAAATTGGTGGAAGGTTATTTCGACAGAACTTCCCTCGTTACTAAAGTGCAGTAGCTTCGAAAAATTATGCTCTTAAAATTTAACTTTAAGAATTTTATTTTTCTAACGATGATCCCTATGAGCTAAAATTAATATATGTGTGGATTGTTAAAGATACTTGGTTAAAGTAAAGGCAGAGAAGCATCGTGTGCATGTGTTTCTAGGAGTTCTTCGTATAATTTTTTATGACGTCATCAACATTTTAGCACGTATATCAATTTGAATAGCTACAGTATAATACTATTAATAACAGTATTGTATCCTCAAATTTTCAGATAAATGGGATGGGCGATAAAAGATGTCGTTTCCTTCGTTAATCTTTTCTGAAAAAAAAATCATTAATCAAATCACAAGCAAATATATATGTACAAACTCTTCATGTTGTGCATACATATTTTAGATTTATTCGGTAAAATTTTAAGATGACGTCATCAACTATTTTTGGGAGCGGATAAATCGATAAATTATGATTAAGGATTTACTATGCTTATGATATCCGTAAAACGTTTTCAAAATTTCAGAGCATTTTGGTTTTGCAGTTTCAAAGTTAAAATGGAAAAAATATTGTCATACAATTCAAGCAAATTATAGTAGCCTGCATAGATATTGTAGCCGTCCTTAGAGTCGAAATTTGCGAATAAAAATAAAATAAAACCGGCTCAAACGGAGCCGACGACGGCTTGCAAGTTCTGTCACTACAGCACGCGTCGCATCACACAGGGGTGTATTTAAGGCCGATTGCACAAAATCTTAGGGTCACTGTAATCTTACTATTTTCTATCTACGACAAACGATTTGTCACACAGCTACGAAACCGACAATCTAGAGAAAGATGGAAGTTTGAAAATGTATTTCAACGAGTGTAATAACCGTTTGGTGCAATGCAATTGGTTCAAGCAAACCAAAATATGACAGGAAACAAACAGTCCACGTGGAGTAGTTTATAGCCGTGTTTGCTGCTAAGATGACCAGGTTTTTCGCTCCACCTACCTCCGCAACGATGAATATACCATACCACAACTTGTGTACAGTGAAAAGAGCTTCGTTTTTATTGACGAGATTGAGCTAAGAAATGAAACAGATTATATCATAACGGAAAAGATGACATTTAATATTAAATACGTCTCTGTGCAACGTGTGCCAGAGTGACGTCAGAATTTGCAAGCCACCGTCGGCTCCGTTTGAACCGGTTTTATTTTATTTTTATTCGCAAATTTCGACTCTATAGACGGCTACAATATCTATGCAAGCTACTATACTTATATTATTTTTTTCCGATTTGGTCTCAAATTCATAATTTATAACTAGGGATATATATATAGGTAGACTCGAAAATGTGCCCTGTTAAAAAGTCTTTCTTTTTTGTGACAAAAGCGATGTATCATTGAAAGGTGTTTTTGACAAATTTTGTATGATAATATCTTACGTTCAAGTCTTGTAATCTTCGTATTTAATAAAATAGAATTACGTTTATTTATTTTTATTAATAACGTCCATCTGGACCGTTATAGTATATTACATAACGAGTGTGGTAAATAGCTTATTACGCGCGAGTTGAAAAATTGCGCACGAGCCCCGTAGGGGCGAGTGCAGTAATTCAACGAGCGCGTAATGAGCGTTTGCACACGAGTCGTGTACTATACTTTTTCCACGACCACACCCCAAAAATATTTCAATGTGAAAGAAGTTAATATTTGATTTTAGCTATGTATTAACTACAAAATATAATTATACATTGAAAATGTTAACAATTAGTTATGGTATGAAAGTTAATCGTAAAGTTTTGACATTTTTTTGTAATTATTGGCGTTCCAGTTTTTTCTAGAACAGTAGTAGTACATTTCTCTAATACTGCAGTTGTAGATGCCAATATAGCCGTTGGTGTTGAAGGCATATCTTGAAAATTTTCAGTTCCAGACAATTCTGCTTTAAGAAAATGAAAATTATGTACAATTGGTGGACATATAAGACTGGTACAAAGAAATTTTTCTAATGAGTATCAAGCTTGATTCCCGAGACCATTGTCGGCCAAATATGCGTTATCCATCTATCATGGCACATAACATCAACGTCAACAAGACAGATTTACACAAAATTAATTTTTCATTTTCCTCATAATTTTTAAGACAGTTTGTACCAGTTTTATATGTCCACCGACTGTATACAACCACAACGCGCCAGTTATAAACGACTGTTTGACAGTTGGCAATTTCCAGCTGACATCTCCATCAAACGAAAATTTCCCAACACATGCACGTAATATTATTACGTGCTAGTTCTGTTTCATAACGTAAGGGTGCACGTAACTAGGCATTTAGACATCAACTAGGCTAGGCGTAATTGACGCTATTACATAGTGGTCGTGGAAAAAATACATTATTTGCAAGAAGAAACATTACTTTATTTTACATATGAATTATTTATTAATGTCCTATGCATAAACTCTAAAAAGCTTGTACATATTATTTTATACGAAGTGTAAATAAGAGGACTTAAGTGGTTAAATGTTTGTTATCTTGAATACAATTGTCAGAACATCAAATTATCATTAAACAGCATATAAATCAGAATATAGTGTAAGTTTCTATATCAATCATGTAACTAATGTACTCGTAACATTTGAAATAAAATTGTAACATATTTTTAGTGAAGTTGTTATGATAAACAATTCACCTAAAATATATTTTCCAAAGAATTACAACCAATTAGTTATGCCAAATTCTAATACTGAAATTGACGATCAGAATACTGATTATTACTATTATCTACATATTGTTCCTCTGAAGTTTCCACACCATATTGCTGCTGATTGGGGTCATCTGCATACGATTGTTGAGGATCTCCTGTGTAACCGGGATCCGGTATATACTGTGTTTGTTCCTGATCTATTGCATATTCGTGACCTATATCAGTCGAATATTGTTGATTAGGGTCTGTACTATATTCCTGATTAGATTCTGCGGAATACTGCTGGTTTGGATCGGTAACATACTGATGTACCGAATCGTTTCCGTACGGATCGACTTGGTACAGTTCTGGATTTGCTGCGGCTACTTGTTCGTAATTATTTTGTTCCATGTAGTCTGAATCATTTGCCACATATTTTTGGTCATAATTTTGTTCTGTACTTGATGGGTTTTGCAGATCAGAAACGTAAGCTTGACTGGTATCGAAATCGACAGGTTGTTCGTTGCTATTTTTATTTATTGGAGATTGATTAACTTCTTGGGGAGGCTGATAAAATGATGGTGTTTCATCATTCGTTTTTTGGGGTAAATTTACATCCTGTTTTACGGATGATCTGCTACTAGTGCGACTTAAATTTTTTGGGTGATTTACTTCTGAGTTTTTTCTCGTATCTTGTGACTGTGCAGTTCTTGAATCGCTAATTGTATTGTAATCCTCGTCTAAAAAGTGGTTGGAAATACATAATTATTAATAATTACTTAATAATTAATTATGAATCAAATTAAAATAAAGCATTCTAATAAAGTACGAGTAAATCCAATTTAGTAAGTTCATACTTGGAGGTTTTTTCTATAAGCTTAATTCGGCTTTTAAAAATAAATGTTATGTTAAAAAATGTTATATTGTTAACTGTAAATTATGGCGAATGAATACTTAAATATTTAACTTTAAATAAGTATAAAATAAACGACTATTTATTTATGGTCAATAACTAATAACTAAAAAATAAAATTCCCATGCTGCATTATCTACTGTAAGTCATACAGAAAAACAATACAAGGCAAAAATTTGTCTTTGAAACTGTTTTACTGTGCAACGCATCTCGAAGAAGTATTGCATGCTATTCTGTTAGGTAATCAAGTGCTCCTCTGATTTTTGCTACTGGTGTGTAATACAGGGAATTTCAGTGAAAAAAACTCACTTATTATTATATTTTGAGAAAAATCCAAAAACGGATCAAAGGGGAACACATTTTGATATTAGTCAAGTTGCCTCTTTAGTCACGATGAGACCGCAGTTCAAACATTTAAAAGGTATTTTAAAAAATATATATTTTACTAAACGTAATTGTGGCTTGTAACATTGTTGTGTATTGAAAATCGTGTTACTGACTTTTACTATTTATTACTTATTATTACTTGTTTATCACCCAGCTTGAACTTTTTGTGCTTTTTGCATATTATTCAGGATAATTACAAATTAATTTTAATTTTGAGGCTCTGATTATTCAATAATTTATAAGTAATATATCTAGTTACTAAAGATTTTTGGATCTAAAAAATTATTTTCACGAATTCTGTCTTCAATATGTACCTACCACAGTCTCATGCCACAAATTTTTGAGGAATATGAGGACCTGAAGTGGGGATATGCGACAACGTCAAATTTGGCATCAAATGACAAAAAATATAATATATAAATATAAATAAAGGAGTTGACCTGTTTTTGATTGTTTCTCTAAATAACCGTTGAGTTATTTATGCTGGTTCTTTATCGCTGAAATTTTCTGTATACTTAATTTTAACGAATTTAACTAAGTAACCACTCCCTCTGTCCCAGAATAAGTGCTGACTTCTGATTTTGCTACATTTTTAAATATGAAGAGATTTTGTTTAAAACGTAGTTGGTGTTGGTCAAATTCAACATTTTAATACAAAAAAAAAAAACAATTTTGAAGGTATTTGTTTTGGTAATAATAATAATTCTGTGTTTCCAAACGAATTTAAAGAGATTTTATCGAAAATACCGGTGCGGAGACAGTATTTAGGTAATTATCAGAAAAGTTCAATAATATAAATTATCAAATATGTTATATTTATTGTAATAGTAGGTAATAAATAATTCTTCAATAAAAAATGCATTTTTTCCTTTATTAAAAAATAGTATATTATTAGCCAAGGTTGCAAAGCCAAGCATTCTAGACCGAGCGCAAATTAGAACCCGAGACGCGCAGCGTCGAGGGCTCTGAAGCGCGAGGTCTAGAAGTGGCTCTGCAACCGTGGTTAATATACAATTTTTTTCACTAGTAGAAACCATAAGACAATAAATTGAAAAAAATAAACGTTCAATTTTTTGAGTCAACATGATTTTGTTTTGATTTCTAATCAAACTTAATATAAATCTTCAACACAAAGAAAACCGTTTACACTTGTCGCTGAATTAATCATTTTATCTTCTACCGTCTACAACTACCATGCGTATACTCAAGTAATGTTAGTAGCACACATTTATTCATTTTTTAAGAAATAATCACATCAAGTATTGCGTACATAACCTCAATCTTCTTTTTGAACCCGCGGTCGCAAAAGTTGAATTTGCTACCTCTAAATGAGTCGACATTTGCATGCTTTATGGCTGCTAGTGAAAAAAATATATTATATTTATTTTTAGAAAGCAGACACTTGGTTTAGAATAAAATTTATTTTCAAATCACACAATTAATTTGGAACAAAGGGAGTACTTTATAACGTTATGCATTTTTCATGGGAAAATTATAGTTGCTAATGATGGACAGAGTACTAGAGTTTCTCAAAACACTCAAGTTGTGTTTTCGAGAACAACTGTGGGATCTAAGACTCAAGTATTGTCTCTAAAACAAAGATCCCAGTATTTGCTGGTGGTCTACGGATTTATAATTTTGGTGAATGTGGATTCAAAGGTAAAAAAACTGAATCTTCAAAAATTCTAAATGAGTGTTTCTTCACTTAATATAAATATTGATTCTCTTAAACACTATTGCATACACAATTATTAATGATCACTATAATTTGTGACCAGAATACCTAAAGAGACACTTGAATTGGACCGTAGATTAGTTCATATTATCACAGAAGCTTCAAGTTCTAAATGAATGCCATAAAAATAACAGTACCCAGAGCAAGGAAATATTTCGATACACTGTGTTCGACTTTTAAACATAAATACATATTTTGAATTTTGTGTCATTCTCAATAAAATACTTTCAGCACTTCGAATTTCAGTTTTTACTCTATTTTACAGGAAATTAAATAATTACAGACTAATGAAATAGAATAAAAACAATGCAGAAATATTTTCGTTCATGATAATCAAGTTTATGTTTTACATCTGTATTTTTATTGTTGAAGTTGGAAACACCCGATAGATTACGGAAATTTCTTTAAAAAAATTCTTGTTCTACCTTTCTTCTCAATTCATGCCATTCAGGTGTGGTGTCACAATCATATGACAATCATTGTTCAGTGAATAATTTTTTATTGTCCATTTCTGCTTAGATTTTCTTATATTTTTGTGTGTATGAAGTGGTTTCACTGCTCTGATCACCACTGCTTAAAGTGTAGTTATAATTCTGTCGTGGTCCTTCACATGTTGTAAAAATACCTCTATGAGAAAATTTTGTTATTTTGGGAATTAATTTAGAACATGCAACGAAATTTAATGCCAGCAGATGTGGAATGAGAAGATCGAGGACAAGGTTGATGAAAAATTGTGCAGACTTCAGGCGACTTCTTTTCATATGGAGTGCATTACTGATGATTTTTCTACAATGCCAACCTACACTGTACGATTCAATCGTTTTACAAGAGTTTTAAAGATATTCAACGAATTAAGAGTGCTAATTTCTAAATATTGTCTTTTTGTGATTGTTCAAATCTAAAAAACCATCCTCATATGTACATTACATGATACAGTAAACAAGCTGATTCAAAAAGACGTTTTATGGACAGATTTTTTGGCGGAGTACGTTCAATGGTAATAGAACTAATAAGTGTTCCGAATTTTGACATATTTTCATAAATTGAGAAAAGAATTCGATTTCAGAGAGTCCGTGTTCAATAACACTTATTCTGTCAGTATAGTTCTGAGCGTAATTACAGATAATGAAAATAAAATTTCAAGTTTCAGTGCTATTATTTTTGCTACAGAGTGCAGTAATTTATGCTTACTTTGAACACCCAGTTTTTGAAAAGGATGTAAAAAAATTACTGAAAATAACTCTTTGTTATATCCTCCATACTTTACTAAACAGCTTTCATATTATATATTAAGTTATAAGTGTTTGTTAATTCACTTTAATATAATATAAGAAAATCTTTGTGTGACTTCTTGTAAAGTTTTATTTTTATACATTTGTAAGAAATATACCTATATTCAGTAATTTATTTTTCTGTTGTAACACCATTAACTAACTCATTACTTTTTAAGCCACTGTAAACTGCGTTTTTAAAAACAGTACTTTCTTTTTTGTATTTATTTCTATTAGAAAAAATCTTCATATAAAATTTATGTCAGGTACATAAAAAATTCTAATATTTTAATTTGTCATGCACATGTTGTACGTTATGTGTACAACACTTACAACAAGTATGCTACTACTTACTACTTATGCACAATGTTTTGCAGTGGAAATAGGAAACTTTTTAACTATAATAAACTTCGAAAATTACCAAAAATTAAGTATTACTAGTGATTAGCATTCTAAAATAAGTTACAACTAATATATCAGTGAATAGTATATGTTTAGAGTGGTGGTAAAGTGATATACAAAATTCACAAATTCTTATGCTCAAGTTATTGAAAAACAGCAAAGTACTAATCTAAATTATTGCAATTAAAAAAGTGTCTTTGTATTTAACTCACTAAACATTACGGTCACTTATTTTTATATGATCTGCTTCAAAAAATATATCAGTAATCGATAAGTGAGATTTGAAACAAAAGTCTTTAAGATTGTTAAGAATTCGACTTTAACTACTTACCACTTTTCATGGGTAAATTTTGTTATCAATTTTATCGAAAGGTTGACGTTGTTTGAAATATTTATAAATAATAATAATGATAATAATATTAATTGTTTATGAACAAGATTTGAAGTGAACTGTTAACTTAACTGATAACGACAATAACCTAATCGATTTTAACTCAAGTTCCATTTCAAATTTCTGCTATTTTGCGTGATCTTGAAACATGAGAATTTTACGATTTTGAACTCGACTTTCTCACCATTCTATCTATAGATCTACAGTGGCTCTTTAGTATTTATTATACCTTTGACACTGGAGGGGGCAACTTGTGTCTGATTTAACAACCTATTATTTAAACGATTTAGGCTAGTTTGTAGTTCCCGTATTTCCTCCCTATAAACAACAAAAAATATTAATACATAGAATTTTTACCTGCTGTGTATCAAGTTGTTTATGTTCTTCGTCAATTAGCTTCAAGCAGTTCCATATATTTCCTAATCTAGTCAAAAGCTCGGAATTTTTTGTCCGTAAATTTGCTCTCTCAAGTCTAAGCAATAAGATTAACAAAATAAATACAAATAGTATTTTTGTAAAATAATAATAATTAATAGGAGTACAAGAATACTGTGAAAAGAAGAACTGACCTTACGAGGTTTGGGTACCACTTTAACACTGATATCTACTTTAATGGGTTCCTTGCGTTTGGTTGGTCGGACTGACGGCGAATCGGACTCGTTTTTGGCACTTGCCTGATCCGTCCCTACCAAACACAAGCCATTAGTTACGAAAATATATAACTTCGATTCGAGGAGAACATGGAAAAACCAAGAGCAGTTTACAACTAGTTCAGATATGGAATTTTGAAAAATATAATAATTATTTCGAAGATAAAATAAAATGTTGCCTTACTTATGCCTTGTGCTGGCGTCTTCCAATTTCTGAGTTAGGGTGTGACATTCAGACGATAATTTGTCCATGAGTTGATTTTGGGAATGGATCATGCCTTCGAGTTCGGCTACTGTGGCCGCTGCAACAATATTACCAATTAACATTTCACACAAATAAGTGCGAAAAAATCTATGACGGCTAAAACTTCCCGAATCAACTCATGGCATGTCAATACCGTCAACAAGTTTTTGAGCAAATTTACGCCAACTTACCGTGTTTTGATTCCATATCTTGTATCAGTGACGACAAATGTTTATCTTGGTCTTTTGGTGGTGGTAAGGCTAGAATTTCTCCACCCGTAGACTGTTTATTTTTTTCTTCGTTCATAGCAGAGTTTAGTTTAATCTTAAACGAACATACAGATAGTTTCAAACATTTTTGAATGCTGTAATGAAATGACCTACCTCTTTTTCCAACGAAGCCACTTGTTCCGTGAGACGTATATTTTCTCTGCGGCTGTGAATGAGATCTGCATCTGCCCTATCCAATCTCTGCCTTAGAGATTGCATTTCGGCTTGTAAACGTGTAACCTCTTGCTTTGCTTGCCTTTCGTTTCTCTCGGTCGCCATTTGTAAAGTAGCAATTTGTTGCTCTAATGCACTTTTCTCGGCTCCGTTAACTCCAATATCAGACTGTAAAGTCACTATAAAAATGAAATTGAAATTTCCAGCATTCGACTTTACTTATTGCCTTTACTTATTTTATTTTGCATATCTTTTTTCATTCCATCAAGTAGAGCCTGTTTTTGTGCTAACTCCCTTCGGAGATCGCCATTTTCTCTGCGCTGCTTATCTAATTCTAACTGCAGTTTATTAGTAGTTTCCCACTGAACCCCTAATTCTGTAGTCAACTGTTCTATTTGTTGTGTATATCTTCGCTCAACAGCGCTTCGTTCATCTGATATACGCCGACTCTACGACAGAACCAATATGAAAGGAAAATACTAAATGCACTTTATTGTATTATGAACCTGATCTGAAATAGCGTCTCTCAGTTTAGCATGTTGTCTATCTAATTCATCTTTCAATCGTCGAATTTCAATTTCTGCAGCATTTTTTTCATAATGTGCTTGTTCTGCAGCGTCTAAACTTCTTTTCACTTGATCGCAGGTGTCATTTTCTTTGTCTCTGATTTTGGATAAGGCACTTTGAAGTTTGGTAACAGTTTCTTGCAATATATCCTTTTCTCTTAAAAATGAGATATTTTGTCAATTTAATTTTAGTTATTTGTTATAAATTACTTATTACAATAAAAGAATTAACTTATTTTAAATTTTTTGGCGATTTATTTGTAAATGATTTATCAAAATATAAATTAAAAAAATAATTTCCAAACAACTAAAATAGAAGAGAAATTAAAGACAATATTTGAATTTTTTTTAATAATTTTATTGCGGCGTATGATACTAAACTTCACTACGGGATATCATTTTCACTTTCCAAGTATACAAAACAGAACATGATCTCTTTGAACATTAAAAATATAAATATACAGGCTGATTCAGAATTGGTGCACTAACTCAACAGTATACAAGCTTCATAAGTCTAACTGCAGCTTTATTATATTTTGAAAATGGATACAAATATTGAAAGTGTTCAAACGCCATCCTTTTTAGCTTGAGGCGTAATTTAGTACATTGCAAAATATGACGCATACTTAGCGCGTCGGCTTCGCGACGCAAACCAGTATTTTTTAAATCACAATAGTAGATTAATAGTAATAGATTATCAAATTAGGATTACAATGATATAATAGCTATTTATGTAACAAATACATAATCAAAAGCTTTACTGAACGAGCCCAGTTAATGGATGAACGACTCCAATTAAAAGGGCGAGTACAGAAACACCTGATTATGTATAAGTTGCAGGCATAGCTCAACAGAAAAATTTTTTCTGCTACACTTTCACCTAATTTTTAGTAGACGTTGTGGTGTCCCATTCGTATATTTCACGCTGAGAGAAAAAAAAGACAAATTAAGAAAATCGTTAAACATAGGCATCCATGTGTAGAGATCTTCAGTTAAGGTGGTAAACTTGTTGTTTGTTTGGTGTGAGTATACGTGGTGAAAATTAAGCATAGATAAAATTTAATGTATAGTTTCATAAAATAGCAATTTTTTAAACGAAAATTAATCATAACGACGGTACAGTTTACACCCGAACAAGCACAATAGTCAATAATTAATCTGAAGTGTTGTATAGATTCGCCGATGTGAAAATATGGTGTCAATTTTTGTTCATTGTTTGTAAATTCACAGTTCATGTTAAGATTTTCGACTGTTCCTGGTTCTAATACAATTTAACATGAAATTTGAAATTGTTCATATAAACCACCTGTTAGGAAATTCACTTATTGAGGCTTAGCTCTTTTGTTTATCAAGTTATAAGTGAAACGAGCAGTAGGTACTTAACGATGATTTATCATTCTCCAGTGAAACATCATTTGCGAGTACGTCTTGACAAGAATGGTTGTATATTGGCCGAGCGATAAAAAAAGTCCACCGTCTAAGGACTGCAGAACTATTTGACCAGGAAATGTCCAAATGCGGAATTTAAGGTTTTTATTGTTTGTATGCGATGTAGGGGATTTTGGTCCACGAGGTAATCGGTAAACGTAATTTGATTTAATTACAAACTTGAAATTTAACATCGTGTAAATTCTTTGCAGTTGAAACTGTTGACAGAGTGTGGCATAATTTAACATCATGCAAATTCTTTCCATCAAAAATCAACAACAAAAGGAACGAGATGAAGTTCCTCGGTCAATTGCGGGAAGGTTAGGAAGGGAGATTTTAGCTCGAGTTTGTCTCCCAAACATTTTAAATTTTATTTTTAATGCGATCAATTATCTATTATAACAGCCTTGCACTGTGAGGATGAATATGTGTTGTAGCCCGAAAATCTCACAACGCAACGTAGGTGAAAACTGAGGAGAGTTCTCTCAGCTGGATGCTGGATAAGAACCACGTCGATTCCGTAAGCGTATCTATTATATTGGGAGTACAGATAAAGACCTTATTTTGTTCGTATTTAGATTTGCCATCCCACTATATAATAACTCGAGTACGTACATTTAGTTACTTTAATTCAGTTTTCTCTTTTTCTTAGTGATGATTCGGAACATTTGGTTTCATTTCATTTTGAAAGCTATGTAGTTTTTTTGTAGCTAAGAACTAAGGGGTCTTCGAACTGCCCAAAGTAGACTTATTCACAGCTTTTTTTCTTTTTGTCCTCTCGAGATTGGATGATGGGCAAATACATTTTGATAAAAAATTTACCATGCTTATGATAACATTACAAGATTTCAAAGCATTCGATTTTGCAGTTCCTGATTAAACTAATAAAATAAATTCACGCATTCATTAATTTTTTTTTGAGTCACCCTGTATAAGCAAATCCAAAAAATATGTAGGGAATGATAAATCACAAGTATAGACTTATCATATTTTAGACAGATTTAATTAGCAACATTTTGAGCTGACGTCATCAATTTTTTGGAGGGGATAAGCAAATATATTTTGATTAAAAATTTGTCATGCTTATTATAACTTTAAAACATCTGCAAGATTTGAAAACATTCGGTTTTTTTTTCAAAAAATCTGGACGTTTCGGGTAAAAACTCAACACGGCGTTATAAACTACATGTGTAGGACTATGTTATTTTATACAATTTAAAACCCAAGTACTAAATACAATTTTGAAGTGACAAGTGACCCCATCACATTATTGGGGAGGAGATCTATTTCTTAGTACTGTAGGGGTCATGAAAGGTCGAGAAAACGTAAAAGTAAAGAGTCGGTCGACGGACTCGATTACAATACTTCCTTCGCCTACGCTCGAACCTCCTGCACTTTGGTGAATGCGCGAAAGTCATCAAAAAAGGTCAGGAGTGCAAAAAAATACTTTCAATAATATGGTCAAATCTCTAACAGAAAAATTTAACTTTGAAGGTATGTATGCTTTTATATTTGGGCCCAAGGATTAAAAGATTTTTTTGCTCAATAATCTATCCCTAACTGCCTGTCTGCAATTAGTGCACCATTTTTAATCACCATAGATTAGATTATATATTAAGCATTTAAATATTTATGCAGTATAGAATTTTTTTGAATATATACAGATTCAAGAAATTTTGAAACTTACCTCTGTAAAGTGTCAATTTGTTTTTTATAGTGTTCAAATCCTAGTCCGTCGAAAATACTTCCATCTGCAATTTTCTTTTTGTAATTTTCATTATTTTCCAAGGCCTTTCTCAAGTCAATTTTGGCTTGTGTAAGTTGCGCTTCTAATTCTGAGATTCTTGATTCAAAAACAATTGTCGGTCCCTCTAATATTTTATGCTTTTTTGCTTTTTTTGGGGACAAAGATACCTAAGTAGAATAGATTAGAATAAGTACATCATTTTGACAAAGTATCTACATATAAAGTAATAATGAAGACCATTTAACGATGCACCTGAATAATTGTAATTACCTTTTGTGACAAATCTATGTCCGTTTCGGTTTCAGTTTCCGTTTCCAAATGATTAAAAACTGATTTCATTATGTTGGATTTCTGTTTTTCATGCAAGTTTTCATTTTCACTTATTACATCTTTAACTTTACTTAATAAAGACGAAAGTTCTTCCTGTAGGTATAGAACAATAATGATTATTTTAAATAAAAATTGCTTTAGAATTATGCTTTACTCTACAAAATCTAGATTCTTTTTCCAACTGTTCAATGTAGTCCTCCTGTTTTTCAATAAAAGACATCAGTTCTGGTGGTGCAGAATTATTTTCAAGTTTGGCTGCACTTCTAAAATGCAAAAATTACTAGGTTTGTAGGATGGAATAACAGAATAATGAAATATCTTACGAATTATGTTTTTCTGTGTCGGCGGGCATGATACTTGTCGGCCGAATCGATGGATAATAATATCTTTTAGGAAGCATGCTGAGATATTGATAATAAGGGCGAGTTGCAATCTTGGAAGTCCTGCTGCCAGCACTAATCAAAGACTGATTGTCAGTGTCTTCTCCTGCACTGTCTAATTCTCTTAGTGGCCTTTTAATAGGAGTATAACTTTCTGCGAGTAAAATGCGAAGTCTACCAACGGCTTCACGATATGCTGTATCAGCATAATCTGGTCTTTTCCGAAAATCCATTTTTCCACCGCTATACTTTCTAAAAAAAAATTATTATGTTAAATAAACAGCTAATTTCTGTTGTTTATAACCACAATTACTTTTAAATATCTCGCAATTATTATTTATAATGAAATTAATCCACTTTTCTTCTTGCAGTAAACAAAACTTCTTGGAATTTAAAAAATGGTTTTTAACATATGTATTGAATATTGCAAAAGTCAGTTTCAACACAACAAAATCAAATATTACATAATTAAAGAGAAAAAAGTAATTCAATCGGAGGTACAAGCTATGTGACTATTATTCGGTTTGCTGCTGCGTATTCGTATTTACCTGTGGTTTGTTTGTATTTTAGAGCAAAACTGGATCAATAGCAAGTAGTTGGGTGATTGACCCATTTTATAAATTAACTTTGTTGTATAAATTATCAAATGTGGCACAACGTAAAAATAAACTTGTTTCAATTTAGTTATTTACTTACTTAGATCTCTTCTTTTTATCTTGACTAATCGAAGACATCATGGGTTTTGATGAAAATAGACTCCTTGCAGGACCCAGCCTCGGTCTAACCAAATAGCTAGTAGAAGGTCTTTGCTTTTTATTTGATGTACTGTTGTACATCCTGCACATACAACTGGAAGGGATATCAAGAACAATTTTATTCGTCGTTGCCCTTATATAACCTGCGACGATCAATTGTTGTTTAGTCGAAACATCCAAGAAGTGTAACATAGTAACGGTGCCAAGAATAAATTATTAAGACATGCGATGGGTTTCACCCCTTATTTATTTGTATTTTACTTCCTTATTATTTAATTTTATAAAATTACTGTTTACATCATTTTACAATAACTGAGATAGATATATACTTATGCGGGCTTTTGTGGCAGTCAATGCGAATATTTTAAATTGTCAAAGAACTTGCTAAGTTGCATAATTTTCTTTATAACAGTTTTCTTGAAGTCTGTTTTTACTTCTTTAGTTGTTTGAGTATGAATAAGTAGGTCTCCCATTTCCGTCTGTCTGTCTATTTGTCAGTTGCCTGTATTGATTTTTATAAGGCAGATAATTTCCGAAACTACCAGATCGATTGTTATTAAATCGTGTAGATGTATAGATGGTAAAACACTAACCAAAATTTGTTTGATTATGCCCACCAACAATTTTGCGTAGTACATGTTGTATAAATATTCTGGTTCAAGAATGCATACATATTTTTTAGAATTTCTTATACAGGGTAATTAAAAAAAATTAATGAATGATGCAATTTATTTTATCAATCAAATGAAAAACGGCTCGTCCCATTTTCCAGAAAATTTGGAAATGTAGTACTGTTACGAACTGCAACTATTCAAATTGATATAAGAATACAATACACAAAATTTTGTAATGAAAAAACTCACTTAAATTTAAAGTTTAACCTACACACACATCTTTATTTTAACATATAAGGGTTGTCATAAAAAAATTGGTCTAAAGAGTTTAGACAGTACTTCCCTCGCTGTCGGAAACTTGACGACTGCATGCCTATTGTGTTTTTTTTCTCATTACCGAAACAATTTACTCACGTATACGGCGCCGGTGAGAGGCAACTGAAAATCGTTTATGTATAAACATTCTTTATTTAAGATGACAAGCGTAACAGCATACGTGAGAGTCAAACAGAGAAACTGTAAACAAAACGACCATCGGTTTTATTACTTCGACTTCCGCTTATTATATAAAACATTGGGTTTTATTTTAATTCTTGATTGAATTGAAATTCACAATTGGTTGATTATAAACATGTCTATTCCACATTCGCGGAACCTAGTCAGCGCATAAAACAAATGCACGTCTGTAATGTTAAAGTCGATGTAAATAAGCGTGCTACCCTTATGTTTCAACCGAGTTTTTACTTTAAAACATTTTGTGTCTACCAAATTGGGTTGGTCCAATGTAATACCAATAATAAGTGTTGCCTTTAATTTAATCAATAAAATAAATTGACTTCATTAATTTTTTTGAGCCACCTCTTAAGAAAATCTAAAAAATATGAATGGAATGATAAATCACAAGTGCAAACTCATCATATTTTTTGCATTTTAGATAGGATTTATTCAGCAAAATTTAAGGGTGACGTCATCAATTTTTTTAGGAGGGATGAACAAATACATTTTGAACAAAAGTTTACCATGCTTATAATAACTTTAAAATATCTCCAAGATTTCAAAGCATTCGGTTTTCTAATTCCTGATTAAATCGATAAAATAAATTCACGCATTCATTAATTTTTTTGAGTCACCCTGTATATGCAAATCCAAAAAATATGATTGGAATGATAAATCACAAGTACAGACTCATCATATTTTGTACATTTTAGATAGGATTTATTCAGCAAAATTTAGGAGTGACGTCATTAATTTTTTAGGGGGGAAGAGCAAATACATTTTGATAAAAAAATTTACCATGCTTATGATAACTTTAAAACATCTCCAAGATTTCAAAGCATTCGGTTCTGTAATTCCTGATTAAATCAATAAAATAAACTGACGCATTCAATAATTTTTTTCAGTCACCCTGCATATGCAAATCGAAAAAATTTGAATGGAATGATAAATCACAAGAAGAGACTCACCATATTTTGTACATTTTAGATAGGATTTATTCAGCAAAATTTTGTGGTGACGTCATAAATTTTTTAGGAGGGACGACCAAATACATTTTGATCAAAAATTTACCATGCTTATGATAATTTTAAAACATCTTCAAGATTTCAAAACATTCGGTTTTGTAGTTCCTGAGTAAATCAGTAAAATAAATTTTGCGCATTCATTAATTTTTTTGAGTCACCTTGTATATGCAAATCCAAAAAATATGAATGGAGTGATATATCACAAGTACAGACGCATCATATTTTGTACATTTTAGATAGGATTTATTCGGCAAACTTTTGAGCTGACGTCATCAAGTTTTTGGAGGGGATAACCAAATATATTTTGACTAAAGATTTATGATGCTCTTTATAGCCTTAAAACATCTGCAACATTTCAAAACATTCGGGTTAGCAGATTAAAATGAAATTGCAAAATGTTGTTTTATAATTTTGATTTTTTTTCCAAAAATCTGGACGTTTCAGGTAAAAACTAAATTCGGAGTCGTAAACTACATATGTAGGACTATGTTATTTTATACAATTTAAGACCCATTTACTATGTACAATTTTGAAGTGACGTCATCGCATTAGTGGTGGGGATGATTAGACAAATTTTGGTTAGCGTTTTACCATCTACATGATATTCCTAATATAAGTACAAAATTTCACAACAATCGGTCCAGTACTTTCGGAGATTATCTGTCTAATAAAAATCCGGGACGGCAGACAGACGGACAGACGGACAGACGGACAGACGGACAGACGGACAGACGGACAGACGGACGGACAGACGGACAGACAGACGGAAATGGGAGACCTATTTCTTCGTATTCTAGGGGTCATGAAAGATCGAGAAAACGTAAAAGTAGAGAGTCGGCCGACGGACTCGATTACAATACTTCCTTTGCTTACACTCGGGAAGTAAAAAGAATCGCTATATCAAATTTTATAATTTTTCGGAAAAAGTAGATACCTACCGTCGTTTCCAAAAAATTTCGGGCAAATGACATTGACATGAAAGTCATATTCCCATTGCTTTTCATTGATATATTTATGAGAACCTGATTTGCTTATCTTGCCCGAAATTTTTTGGAAACGACTGTAGGTATCTATGTTCGACTGTACTTCACGGACGAGAAAAGTTCTGTCTAATAACATAAGAGTACTTTTTGAACAATCACATTGAATTTAAATGTGTCAAGTGACCCAAATGTACGAGCGCGTTGTTTCTTTCTTAGATTATGATAATGCCGAAGAACTTATTGATTTAGAAAATCAACCACATCAGAATAATTGATACATAATTATAATTATTATGATTTCCTCTTAATTCGCCCAAATAATAAAATGTGGTAAATTATGATTCCCCCTTCAAGCTAAAAGCAACGGTGTTTATAGAATTTCAATATTTCTATCCGTTTACAGGTTATAAGTAGAGGCCAGATTTATATGCACTAAAAAAGTCCAAACATGCAGGCAAAATATGAAAGAATAACTGCCAGATTGCACTTAAACCAGTTTAAACATGCGAATTGCGAAATATCTATGAAAGAATAATTAGGTACTTCAAGGGTTTACACTGCTGTTGTAAACATTTCGGTTGTGCAAATTTGTATTGAGATGTTGATCGATTAGGTATTTTATTTCTCACTGTCACTGACATCTATATTAAAATATTGATCATATATACAAAGTAATAAAACCATAATTAATCAGTAACACTGACGGCGATTTTGATTTATAAACCTGATAAAAAATGGTTTTCCCTTCAGTCGTAGGATACCTGTATATTATAGTTTTGACATTTCAAGGTCACAGCTAGTCACTGGGAAAACGATCAGCATTATTTAATTCTCATCCATACGTTTTACATTTCAACGCTGTGCCTGCACTGCCTGCAACGGTTCCACCGTTATGCATATATAAGGGGGAGAGAGAGCTGTCTTTAAAGCCGGCTATATAATATTGCATGTCTCTCCTTTAAAAACTCATCAGTTACGTTCTATTGTAGACAGACATGGATTTTAGAAGAATTTTAGTTGCTGGTACAAAGGTGTACCGTGCGTGAGAAGTTATATTAATTTAACGTGTTCATGATTCATGAAGCGGTCACGAGTATGCAAAAGGAACAAAAACCTTCACGTAGAATAATAAGCTTCAAAAGTATCAAAGTTCGGTTAGGCTAAAAACACTGGCGATTTTTTATCGTGCTATGGTTTAGTTGCAAATTTAAATTATAAATTCTAAACTAACTAGAACGACTGGTGCAAAAATGGGTATGTTTTTAGTTCAAAAATAAGCAAATAAATAATTTTAAATACCTGTTTCGTTACAATTGCGATTGCAGTAAAAAACTAATTTTACAATTTATTATATTTATAACAAAAACTTAATAAATAAACTATTAAATCTGCCAAAAGTCCAGTTGTAGGTACCTACTTTTGATATACCTACAAATATTTAACAAAAGGAGATGCCTGTGTGACGTGTGTGATCAATGAGTCCAGTGTAAGCTAACGAAGTGTTGTAATAGGGACTACTTTCATGTTTTATTGATGTTTCATGACCTCTAGAGAATGAAAAAATAATAAAATTTGAAAAAAAAAATTGAAATTTTATATGCACCTACGTATGTTAGGAATATCATATAGATAACGCTAACCAAAATTTGTTTAGTCATCCCCATCAACAATTTGATGACGTTACCCCAAAATGTTGCATAATATGATGATAATAATAATAGTTTATTGATCCCTAGCAGGTCACCCCAATTGCAGGAATCAAACAAATAAATAAAAATAAATTCATGTTAACAAAAACCATAACTTATACTCCTATATTATAAAAATAATATGCTATTTAAATTTGATAAAATAACATACTCCTGTACTTGTGGTTTATGAATCCACCTTGATTTGTTTATTGTTGTTATAATTTTTATTGTTTAATCTTAATTGTGAAGCTGTTCTTTAGACAGATAATACGAAGTTACGTCAAGCGTGGGTGGTGACGCAGTGGTTGTAC